AAACCAGCTTTGCAGAAGCTCTCAGTAACCTCGGAGCTCCACAGACTCGTGGCTGCTCCCATAGCCACCAGTTTCCCAGCGGGAGCAAACTGGGCTCCGAGCTTTTCTGAAACCTGTGGTGAGCCCAGCTTCCTGGAGAACCCCCCCGAGAGGAATCAGGTCCCAAATCTTGGCATGTCACCTCTCCTGAGTGTAAAAATGCAGACGCTTTGGCTGCGCTGTCGTTGAATTCTTTCAAACCAACAAGTCTTGTCACTCCTCCCGTGTCGTGACACCTCCTTGCCCATGGAAATGGGCCCATCTGGGGATTCACGTGGTCCCGGGCAGATAATTGTAATGGTCCCCCCAGCCTTTAAAATCTATGAATCACTCCAGTATCTGGGCACTTTATGCACATTAGTGAATTAATCCTTCCAGCCTCTCTGCAAGGGAGGGAATTATCCTTGTCATTGCTCAGATGGGAAATGGGCGAGATGGAGCCCGGATCCGCGCCAGAACTGGGGGGTCACATCACTCACAGCTCTAACAGCTCACCTTTGGGCACCCAGCCCTCGGGGGCACCCGTGACCCCCCATTAGTTACCTCCACGGGTGTGTTGAGTGAAGGGGGGAAGATCTATCCCCCCTGCCAGGCAGCTGGGAATCCATCTGAGCCCTGTCAGGGGGAGATGGATGGACGGGGCGTAGGGCTGGTGCAGCCGGGAAGCGTGGGGAGGATGCACAGGGTGGGCTGGGGGGTGTGGGGATGTCCAGTGTCTCCCCACAGCCTTAGTCTTGCTCTCTGCGTGTCGTCCTGGGTGCCCTGCCCACTGGGAGGTCCCCAAATGAAGGAGGTAGGTGTCCCTCATCCCAGGAGAGTGAGGCAGACCCCAGGATGTCACCTTCATCCCAGGCTGGTTGCCCCACAGAGCGTTGCAGCAACCAGGTGGATTTCATAGAACCATGGAATGGTTTGGGTTGGAGGGAGCTTAAAGCTCACCTAGATCCAACCCCCCTGCATGGGCAGGGACACCTCCCACCAGCCCAGGCTGCTCCAAGCCCCATCCAACCTGTCCTTCAACACTTCCAGGGAATGGGGCAGCCACAGTTTCCCTGGGTAACCTGTTCCAGCGTCTCACCACCCTCCTTTGGACGAGAAACCTTTTGTGGCTCGTTCAAAATAAATCAGTGACTTTGAGCTCAGCCCACCCAGGTTCAGTGCAGCCCTTTCCCTGCAGTTGCACGTGCTGATTTCCTTTGTTTCCCCTGGCTTCCAGGTGTATCAGCCATGTCACGGCCGTGCCGTGGCGTCCGTGGGCAGAGTAACGTGCTGGAGTTAAGGCTGGAGCAGCATTTCAGCTTCCCTAAATTAATGACACCTCATTAATTCAGCCGTGTGATGAGCTTGATGGAGACAGGTTTGGCTCCTCAACCCTTTCAGCTCTGCTGAGGCAGTGCCAGGGCTTGTGCTTTCAGCAAGGTAACATCTCCTTTTTACAAGCGTGCGCCCGTGGAGCAGTTTGTGCTGCTGCAGCCTCCACCAGCTCTGTGTTCAATCTGAATTTTGGCCAGTGACTGCCTGGCTGTGCAGCCACTCTTTATGTGCTCTGAAAATTACTGTCAAGGTTAAAAAATAACCGTGCAGCTTGTGAGCTGCTTGGCAGAGCCCACGAGCACCCGGGCTCCTGCACGGCCGGAGGGATGGATGCGATGGGTTCAGCACTCACCAACCCTCCTTTTCCATCAAAGGCACTTGTGTCCTTTATAAAAGCAACAAAAACCAACCCTGAGCAGCCCCCCTGGTTTTTCATGTTGGGCTTTAAACCCATGGAAAACAAAAAAAAAATCATCTGGCTGAAGATCTAGGTTTCAACCAAGCGCGTTTGTTCTCTCATGGAGATGGTGCTTTGGTCCAGCTGGATGTATCGTCCCCTATTAAAGGAGGATTTTTAAATGAGCACATTTATTCATCGAGCTGTCACAGCCTGTTGAGTAAAGAACATGAACTGGCCCAGTTTAGCCTGTTTTCTCCCAAAAAGCTGTAACAGTCTCGGGGCTAAATAAAGAAACCCAACCCCAAATTTCACCCGTGCCCTCCATTCCCTTCACCATCACAGAGGGGCTGGGGGGAGAGTGAAGGCAGAAATGAAGGCTACAATAAATATTTCAACTCTTTCCTTTCACACAGCCTGGGAAGGTTGGCTGTGGCTTTTGGGGGGGGCTGCTCTGCAAAGGCAGCAGCCTTCTCCCCTCGCCCCAAAGAGTTTCCAGTCAACATCTTTTTAATTCAAGACGCCCGGAAAATAGCAGCCTGAAATAACACTCCTATATGTCAGCTGCTGATGGAAGGAGATTAAATATTAAAGCCAGTGCTGTGGCTTTAACTCATTCCTGTTTTCCCCCCCACACCCCCTTTCACCCCCCCCCTCTCCTCTTTGCTTTCTTCCCTGTGTAAAATGACATGATTTAGAACTGAAGTGCCAGACTCAGCCTCTAGGTTTCGGCGTTTGGAAATGGATGGAGAAAGATATATTGTGTCTGTGAGCGTTTCTGGGCAGGGAAATAGAGGGCTCCCAAGCTAGTGAGACCACATAAAGATGTTAAATAGAGCTGTAACGTGCAGCGAAAGCAGGAAAACTGCCCTAGAAAAAAAAAAAAAAAAAAAAAGTTACAAAAAAAACCCCCAAAAAACCAACCCCCGAGATGGAGGAAAATGAAAGATTAAAATAAATTCAGAGGGAGCGAGGCCGGGCTGAGGGCTGGGGAGAGAGAGGAACGTGACCCCACTCCCCACCTCATCCTCTTTGCTGCTTCCCTCGTTGGCCTAAAAACCTCCCTATGTCTTCACCTAAACCAAAAACCACTTGGAGAATTGGGAATTTTATCCCTTTTTCTTTTTTTTTTTGTCCTGTGTGTCTCTGCACATTTGCTCTTTCAAGACGCCACTGGAGCAGCTGCCTGGCTGCTAAATATTCATCTGAAACTGGCTGCTCCCCTCTCTTCCCAAAAAAACACCCTGATTTATCTGATTTATTTGATATATTTGATTTGATTTCTTTGATTTCTTTGATTTCTTTTCCTCCCCTTCCCCAAACCTTCCGATTTTCCGCCGCTAACGTCTCACCCCCGCGTCGCACGGGGCGAATGGGGATGGATGTTAAAAAAACCAGGGTGGTTTTTTTGGGTTAGAAACATGAAAAAACATTAGTACCCACCCTTTCTCCCCCCCCTTTCCCACCACCTTTCTGGGCTTTATGGTGCAGCACAAAACCCCGTCACAATTTATGGTTTTTTGTGTGTCTCCTTGGGCGACCGGCGACCGTTCGTTCCCTTCTCCTTTGTTCCCAGATTTGTGATGCTGGGTGGAAATGGGTCACATTTGGGCTGGAGCAGAGTTTTGGAGGAAAGAACCCCAGAAATGTCAAATCTTTAGCAAAACCCTGGAGAAATTGTATTATTTAAGGTTTAGCTACAGACCCGATTGGGCAAAGAAATGTTGGGCTAATGGTCGGTAGAGGCGGGTTGTGGTTGGACTTGGATATGGTTGGATTTGATGATCTTAAAGGCCTTTTCCAACCAGAATAATTCTGTGATTCTGTGGAAAAAAAACACTTCCATTTTCTCCCCTTCAGCACATTCAGACCCATCAGCTCTTAATTTCTTTTCATTTGAGCTCTGGTGAAGAAGTCACCACCAAAAGCACCTTCTGATACGAGGACTTTGAAGGACGCTTTGCATAATACACTTGTTATTGCGGAGAAGATGGATGGGATGTGTGTGGATGGTGTCTCCGTGCTGTCCCTTCCCTCTGTGAATGTCCCCCACACCCCCCCTGGCTCCACACGGCTCCCGGGAAGGCGCCAGGCTGGAATAAGCAGCTTTGCTTGAGGAAAAAAAAAAAAAAGATACGTTATAAAAAAAATGAGTCGTAAATAAGCACCAGAAAGAGCGAGCGGAGCCGGGGTGTCAACGTTGGAGCTAATTCACAGGAACAGGTGGCTGAGGGGGGGAGGTTGGGGGGGTTGGTTTGTGGGTTGTTTTAAGGAGAGGGAAGAAGGGAAGGGGAAAAAGGGCAGGAATTCTTGGCTGCAGCAGCACCAGCTCTTTCTAGAAACGCGGAGCCTGGCGGCTCCGGGATGCGGAAAAATCCTGCGGTAGGGCCTGAGCCGTGGGCTCTGCTCCCACTTTGTCGCAGTCTATTAGGAGAGGAGCAATCCATCCATCCTGGAGCAATCCATCCTGGAGCAATCCATCCTCAGGGCTTGATGATTATTTGCTTTAACCCCCTCCCTGCCTCTCTCATCCCCTCTCCCTCCGTCTCGCTGCGCGGGGACGGTGCAGCCGCGGGCGACGTTGCCCTTTTGTCTGGGTATCAGTGACAGCCCCACACACCCACACACGGTCCCCCCTACCCAGCACATCCTGTCATGAGGGGGGGTTTTATCCTGCAATAAAGGTGGAATTTCAAACAGCATCTTTATGGCACGTTAAATGCCTTTTTTCCCCCCGTTTCGACGGCAGCCGCGCTTCGGGCTTCGTGGCAAAGAACTTGGGGGGTTGAGCAGCCACCTCCATCCCACTCCATAAATCCATGGTCTGAATTTTTGGGGTGGGGGGGACAGCTCTGGCCCACACCATGAAAAAAAAAAGTGGCCTGACCCCAGGAGTGTCTAATTCATCCCTCCATTATCCAGCAATAAATGCGGCGCGTCTCGGCTTCGCTTTTCCGAGACGTGTTTGCAGCTACTGCTGGGGGGGAAATAAACCAAAAAAAGACAAACCACCACCAAAACCCAAAAAGGTTATGAAAAATATTTGTTCCCCAGAAGCCCCCGTGTAACAGCATTTTCATTTGGAGCAACTCCTCAACCAATCTGTCCCGCTCTGGTTTGGCTTCAAGCGATTGTGTTCCAGTTGCTCTCCGGGTGACTCTTTCCTTTCCCCCCCCTCCCTCTTTCCCCGTTGCAGGACGGACCCGTAAAACCACATTTATTCCTGATTTTCTAAATGGTTTCATTTCAGAGGTTTACAAACGAGGACCACCTGGCAGTTCATAAACACAAGCATGAGATGACATTGAAATTCGGCCCCGCTCGCACTGACTCAGTCATCATAGCAGGTATGTGGGGTTCCAGCCAGGCCAGCTCGGGAAACGGGGCACGTTAATACACCATGACTGCAAGATTAATACCCAGGACCAGATGCACTGCAAAACATCCCTACCTCCCATAAAAACCTCTTGTGATCTGCATTTAATCAGGAGGAAAGGAAAGCATGAGGCTTCCAAGGTTTGTTTTTTTTTATGGTGGTATCAGATTTTGTACGAGGGGGTTGTGTTTTTTGGTGGTTTTGTTGCTTGTTTTCTTTTTATTTTTCCAGGGATTTTGATTTTTTTTCCCTTTTTGAAGCTCTCACCCCTTTTTTTTTTATGAAGGCTGAGAGATTTATGGGGCAAAAAAGGTCTTTCACGTTCCTGTGTGTGCTCTGAGGATGATGAACAAAAATCTGACAAAGCCAGGTTCTTCTACTCAGCCCAGGTGTCAGTTTTGGGGAGCTTTTTAGGCTGGCAGTTCATCAATTAAAATGCCACCGAGCACAGTGGCTGCAGCAGAACCCAAATGTGCAGCACAGGGTCAGAGCAGCCTTGATAAGGTAGGGAGATAAAAAACCCACCCCCGTGTATATTGTTATTTGGCAGCAGATCATGGCTGGTTACAGATCATCTCCTGCCTTGTCAGGTCCCTTTTTGGTTCAGGCTTCTTAAAAGGGCGTGAGGTTTGTGTTCCTGCTGGATGGGAAGGCTGTTGCAGGGAGTAAATAGTGCCTGAAACCTTGGGATTTCAGAGTGGGGGGGAAATCAAGCCTGGCAGCCCTTTTTTTCCAGCCCCAAAATTCAATGTTTGAGTAGGAAGCAGCAGTTCAGCTGGTTCCTTAAAGCCTTTGAGTGAATTGTGGCTGGGGGGAGGATTGAGGAGCTGGTGCAGCTGTTGCTGGAAGGGCAAAAAGCTGCTCCTCAGGGGAGGGTTTGCAGAGATGGAACCAGCTCCCAGTAGGAAAATTCATTTCAAATGGGATCAGGCTAATGGGAGTTGATGGCAAAGAATTTGGGGCAAGGGCTGGAAGGAACCTCTTGATTCCTAAAGGTGCTTTTTCCCCTCAATTCAGCCCCTTTCTGAACAGCAGCAGGATTCACTTTTCCTCCATAAAACCAGGGTGAAAATCAGAAATGGGGCAGGACCCATCTCCAACCAAAGCCCACCTGCTCCAGCAGGGATGCAGCATGAACACTCCTCATCTCTGTTGCTCCTGGAGGGGGATCTTTCCTCCTGTGCACAAACCCTCCCGGGTAAGACCACGGTTGGGCTGAAAACCTCCAGTTTCAGGCCGAGGACCAGAGCACGGGCGGGTCGAGCTCTTCTCCCACCAACTCCAGACTGATCCTCAGTGTGTTGCTTTGGGTTAAACCACAAAGCACCCAAAAAAACCAACCCCAAAAACCCCAAACCTATTTATCCGTGGTCAGTGCAAGAGCAGCTATTGAACACAGGCTTTTCCCTGGCTGAGATCTTGCTGCAAGGAGGAGGTTGTGAGGGCCATAAAGCAGCAAGATCCTGGGCTATTATTGCCCTACATTCCTGGTGTCTTTTGATACTTTTAAGCCACCATTTTGTCTCTGGGTGATTTTTTTTTCCCCCTCCCCTGTCCTCTCCCTCCCTCTTGCTTTGTGCTGAGCCCAGGGCAGCAGCCCGTGTGTTAATGAGGAGGATTTGGTGTTCATCCCTTTGCCCTTAAGCTAAAGAGAGTCGTAAAGAATTGTCCTTTGACAGCAGAGGGACTCACTGAAATGGGAACAGGCACTCCTGGGGGAGGAAAAACTGCTGCAATTCCTGAAGGTACGAATTGGGGAAGGATGAGAGAGGTTATAACAGCTTGGTGAGAAGTTCTGCTCTGGGCCCCGGGCTCGGGAGGACATTGCTAAACAGGGAACGGTCCGAAAAGAGCCCCGAGAGCCCTTAAAACACTGGAAAAACAACCTCCTGCTGACATCTTGAGTTGACAAAAGTTTTTTGCTTTCATGAGGAGAGGTTTGAGGGGAACTGAAGTGTGCTCAGAGGAGGTTTTGTTTTATTCAAAGCAGTGTAGGTAGGGTTTGGAGTCAGGCTGGAAACAGAGCGTCGGGAAGGCGAAAGAATCGCCGGAGTCGCTTCCCGAAGTTGGAAATCAAACGGGGTGTTTTCTGTAGGCACTTCAGCCTCTGTGCCAAAGAGCCCATGTTTTATGCAGGAGGTCAAGCTAAACTATCCCAGGGATCCCCTTTGTCCTTTAGAAAAAAATAAATCCATGGAGTTTTCTTGCTGCCTGATGGATTCTCTCGGTGGATCGTGCTTGTTCCCGCTCGGACCTGGGCTCCCGACAAGCAGGGAAACAAGGAGCAGGGAGATTTCCTTCTGCTTTACAGCCTGGGTGATGGCCAGAGAGATCATGACTCAATGTGTTAATACGGTGGAAAACAGGCCCTGGAGGGATTGCTTTGGACAGTGGTGGGAATTATTAGCACTCCCACAGAGCCTGTCCTGAGATGAGCACGGAGCCAGCCCGGCTCCGGTCCCCGCTGGAGCTTCTCCCATCAGCCGTTTCCCTTCTCCTCACTCCATATTTTTAAGATCTGCTGTTTCAGGGAGATCAAACCCCCTTATTTTCCTTCCTTACAGCAGGA